AGAGAGAGAGAGAGAGCGCCAGAATTCTGTGCTTTTCTGTCTCCATTAGAGGACAGATTGATTAGCTACCATCTCCCCCTTCAGCTTCTTAGTCTTTATGTTGGAAAGTTCAAGCCCCAGCATGAAACCCCAGAACGTACTGGGCTCCTCTGGGAGGCAGACTCCATCCTCCTCCTTCCTTTTGATGGTACTGGGCTCTCACCCAGACCCTTTTACTAAAGCCTTCAGCATCCCATGCTCCAGGTAGGCCAGGGGACCCGCTTGCTCCTCAGCCCTCCCATCTCCAGGACAGAATTCAACTTCTCCTCACCCTGTTGGCCTAGCACCTTGGGTCAGCTGACCTGGATTGGGCACTTGGCCTTTTATGGCCTCAATCAATGTTTACCTGTCTGTCTGCCCGGGGAGAAGGCATGACAGCGTGTGGCAGCAGAAGTTGTTCTCAGGAAAACATGGAGAATGAGCAGCACCCGGGGACACGGCAGACAACGCCCTTGTGTGGAGGACCCTAGAGTGGACATGTACCCATGTTGGGCCATGGGGTCACCCGTTAGGACAGGAAGAGAGCCTCACTGGAGATGTGCCCTACGGGGGATATGCTCATTAAAGGCCCAAGAAGTAACGTCCTGTCTACACTGACCAGCTCCTGCCAACTGGATCTAGTCACCATCTCTCATTGCCACACCTGAGGACCTCTCTGGCTGTCCCAGTGCATAGCTGGCCTGGCCCTGGTCCCCATATGGGGGTGTTTCCTCATTGCAGTCCCTTCCTTGTGAACGTTTCCTCTTCTGAAGAAAAAGAACCACTTGCTCAGTACCCTAACTTTCACCTTTTCCGGCACATCGACTTTCACCAGATAGCCAGGTGGGCTCTCCTTCATGGCCCTTCCCAGCATGCTCTAAGTCTCCTCGCAGGCAGAGTAACTGGGCACCAAGTTTTCTCCCATCTCCAGAAAAACAGGTTTGCTTGGCAGTGCCCAGAGGCTGTTTTGTATTGTCACAACCTAATGTTGACACTAGGTAAATCAGCTGCCCTCTTCGTGCCACCCTGTGCCCTGGCCACCTTGCCCGCCCCTCCTGCCTGCCTCGAGGCCAACAAGAAACGGGCCGGGAATGTATTTGCTGACACTGTTGCCCTAAGGCTTGGCTTCAGCCAGCCAAGGGTAGGACAAAGAAAGCAGCCACACACGTCCAGTCCAGACCCACAGCGGCTTCCTGGTGGCCACTACCAACAAAAGTCGGGCATCGTTCAGAACTTCCTTGAAACAGGTCCTGAATTGTTCCAGGCAGACAGCAAAACAGTGACTCTCTCGTGGGATCCTTTCCGTCAGCCGCCGGGGAAGCAAGAGCCATCAATTGTCCACGAACGTAACTGACTCACTAAAAACAGGATGCTTTCCAGGGAGAGGGGGAAACACTGTCTGTGGCAGGGATAGCTCGAAGTCTCACGGGCCAATATGTCCTTCTAACTACCCGCTCCCTGCCACTCAGAGAGAAGTGAAGGGACGGGAACATGAGACAGGACGGCTAGCTGTACCTTGTTTCTCTTCTTTCAAGACAGGATCTCCTGTATTCCAGGTTGGCCTCCAACTCAATATGTAGCCAAGAAACGAGCAACTTTGAACTTCTGCCCCTCCTGTTTCTTCGCAAGTGCTAGCATAGCCGGTGGTGGTGGTATGCCACTTTAATCCCAGCACTAGGAGGCAGAGGCAGGCGGATCTCTGTGAGTTCAAGGGCAGCCTGGTCTACAGAGTGAGTTCCAGGACACTAGCATTACAGATGTTCTCTGCTATCCCTGCTTTATTCGGTGCTGGGCGTTGAACTCAGGAATCTGTGTGTATTGATCCAGCCACTCTACCAACTGAGCTACATCTCCAGTCCACAGTCCCAGCTTTCTTTGCTTTCAGTGAATCCAGCAGTAATTCGTTTCTGTATGTCTGTCACCTTACAGAGACCAGCATGCAGGCAACCCCTCCATCCAGAGTTACTTATTCCAAATGTCCAGGCTATGACAGGCACCAGGGACCTACCCTTTGATAGCCCTTGTCTCACAGAGCCTGTAGATCACCATGAGTCAGGACACAAATACATGAGGTCACTTCAGACAATCAAGGGTTTAGGACAGAGCAATTGACCAGTGAGATGACAAGAAGCGTTCGGCACAGAGGTGTCAAAAGATGGCGCTTCAGCTGGACACCTGCAAAGACCATTCTGCTGATCCCTTATAAACTTCCCAGGAGTCAGACGGTGGTGGCGCACGCCTTTAGTGCCAGCACTCAGGAGGCAGGGGCAGGCAGATCTCTATGAGTTCAAGACCAACCTGGTCTACAAAGCAGTTCCAAGACAGCCAAGGCTACACAAAGAATCCCTGTCTTGAAAAACAAATAAACAACCAACAAAAGTCCCAGTGCTTAAAGAAATATCCCTACAAAAAAGAATCAGCTGCGGCTGGGGTGGAACTCAGAGGCAGTGTTGTTTAAAACACACAAAGTCCACGGTCCCAGCGCCAAGACTGGAAACAAAACAAAAGTAACTTTAAATACTAACTAGAGGACAACTTAGAAGAAGATTAGCCTAGGAGATTAGTTAAATGAGCTTGTCACCAAGTTGGAAAACGACACTCTGCATTTTCAAGCTTGGGCTGGAAGCCAACATCCCCTGGCAGGGTACACACTTTTGAGGTAAGAAAAATAAAAAATAAGCATGGTGCCATAGGTCCATAAACCTAGCCTCTCAGAAGCAGGGGAATCGAGAGTTCAAAGAAAGCCTGGTCTATAGCGTGTGGGACCCTGTCTCTAAAATACAAAAAAGCAAAACCAAAGACAACCTTTAAGCCTAACTGAGAAACTACAGAGAAACAGCAGTTAAGGTCAGCATCAGCTCGGTGCCTTTGAGCTCCGAAGGTGAAGGGGTAGTGGTTAGGTGTAACCTGAGGGTCCCCAAAGCTTGGAGTGGTGAAATTTAATCCTCATTGTGAGGTATTTAGACCTCAACCTCACTGTGGCATTTAGAGGCAGGTAACGAAAATGAGACACGGTTATGAGTGTACACTGACCCAGAAGTGTCATAGACACAATGTGTGTCTTCTGCCACCAAGATGGCCATCACTCCATCTGGAGCACTGTGTTATTAGTAACAGAAAACAGTCAGCACTCAGGAGTCAGAGGCAGGAGGACTGAAAATGCAAGGCTAGCCTCGACTACATGGTGAGGGATCACATAAGAAAAAAAAAGAAGGTGCTGGGCAGGGGTGGTACACACCTTTAATCTCAGGACTCAGGAAGCAGAGGCAGGTGGGTCTCTATGAGTTCGAGGCCAGCCTGGTCTACAGAGCGAGTTCCAGGACAGCCAAGGCTACACAGAGAAACTATTGTCTAGAAAAATTTTAAAGGGGGGTTCAGTCAGTAATGCTGTTCTAGTGCACACAAAACCGTGAGTTCCAGCCTTAGGAGCAAATAACTTGGCGCAGTGACTACACCTGGAATCTCAGAACTCCATAGGTGAAGGGAAGAGGATCAGGCATTCAAGACCATACCATCCTCAGCTACATAGCGAGCTAGAGGCACGCGAGGCTACATGAGACATTGCCTCAAACCAAAAAAGCAAGCCTCAAATCCTGGGGAATAGATGGGGACAAAATGGGGAAGTAGGGGAAAGTGAGGAGGCGGGGAGGAGCAGGCGTAGGAGGTCAGGAGTACACACCTGCCCCATGCAGGACACTACATCCAAAGCCAGCCAACTGCCCCAGATGTATCCAAGTATCCAAGTGGATACTTGTAATACAGCAACAATAAGCGTACAGAAAGCTACTCCTCCAAAATATGCTCAAATGGATTGGAACTCAAGACAGCAGCAGCATTGCTGAGTAAGTTCAGCAGTCTCCTGGGTGGGGTTCCTTCCCACCATGCTAGACTGGAATGTATTTCACAAACTCAACAAACTGAGGTGCAGAATGGTGGAGGAGCCTGTAGGAAGCGACCCCTGGGGCATAAGCCTCAGTTTCTCTATCTGAAACCAGACCTCCTGCTCCCCAGAGGTTAGGTGATTCTTCAGCCTAGAGCAAGGTTCACTGACCCCTTCCCAAAGTGGGAAGGAGATTGGCCTTCTAGGAAGCTGCAGCTGGCTCCAGGCCACAGTAACAGTGTTACGAACTGCAGTGGCAACGACAACAAGAAACAACAACACTTTGCAGGGTGGCTCAGTGCACTTCGGAGCAGCAATTAACAGTTTACAAAGCATCTGCAAGACCACAGGGTTGGAGAGGACAGCAAAAGTGACACAAAGCGCTGACCCGGGAAAGCGCACGGCCGACCTTCCTGAGGATCCCTAACCCCCACACAAACATCCGAAGTAACGAGCAAGGCAGACGCCTCTGGGGTGTCCAGCCCGGCAAGTCTTTGCTACTGGGCATGGGCAAGTGGCAAAGAGCTTGAAGAAGTACCAGTTTGGTCTGCCCGAGTCTCTTAAGAAGGCTCTTCTGCTGTCCCCTCTAAGACGTGCATCCTCACCCACCCTCGCCAGATCCCAGCGGGGACAGATGCGAAACCTGGACTCTGTTGGAGACAGGTGTAAACCACCAGGTCGCCGTAGGGACGGTGCAAATCCCAGGATCCCCGAGGGAGGGACAGATGCGAACTCCCGGGTCCTTGCAGGGACAGGTGCCGACGCCATCTTCCGCCTGCGGCCCGGACCGAGCCTGGCCGCCCTACGCTGGCAGTGCCGCGCCCTGATCTCAACAGCACAGCGCAGAGCCCCGATTCGCGCCCCCTAAGGTTTCGACACCGAGGGAGCGGCGACAGCAAGGGGCACTTGCTCATCGTGTCCTGGGGCCGAGACGCAGAGGCCCACCCCCATTGCACGGATGCGCGGCGGGGCACGCGGACGCGGCTAGCACTTTCTGCGGTGGCAGCCAGGGAGGGGACGTTTCGGAGCCGGGGCCACCGAGAGACTTGGACACCAGTCCCCAACCCTCCAGTCGCTTGGCCTGAGGCTACCTGGCGCTTACCTGCCGGGCTGCGCTAGCGTAGCGGTGGGCGAGCTGCCCGAACACCTCTCAGTCTGGACGGCGGTGGCAGAGTCGGGGGCGCTGGCCGGAGGCGGGTTAATGTGAGCGGCGGGCTGGGCCCTGATAGGTGGCCGCGCCAGCCCCGCCCCTCTCCCCTCCCGACCCAGCTCGAGATTCCCCGGCCCCACCAAGTGGCTACGGGACCGCTGGAAGAGCGCCGTTAACTTGCAGACGTCTCTCCGTCACTGGCAGACCTGCCACGGTGTCCACGCCAGTGCGTCTGCGAGCGCGCTCCGCACCCAAGTATCCACAGACATCGCCACTGGCCAGGTCTGCGTTTATCATCTAAGCTAGGGTCCTCACAGTACTCGTAAGGGCTCGGTGCTTTTTATCCTGACCACTTACCCACGAAGGAACTGAGGCTCAGAACAGGCGACAGCTTGATTGATAAACGAGTGAAGTCAATGTTTAAAACTCCGCGCTCTTTAGGTTGCCCACACTTGGGAGTTAGGTGTCTTTAAATCTTCACGAATGTCGAAAGTTTTCCCCAGAAATCAGCCCTGAAGCCCACAGCTTTCCTGTGTTCTCGCTTGCAGCAAGCTTCCCGCCGCACCTCCCAGCCTCCCCTCCCCTTTCCCCTAGTCCGAGGTCGTGTCCAGCACGCCTAGCCCTCCAGCGAAGGCTAAGGGTGAAGGAGGGAATCGATGGGAGGAGAAATCTAGAATTACAGACGGAGTGGGAGGAGTTGAGTCTCCGTGACCTGGCCCCAGAGCTCCTTCCAAGGTGTGTTGAGGTGGAGGGCTTGACCGAATTACAAAGTAACGATTATCTAGACAACAACAAAGCTTGTTTACCCTAAATCAGCTCTTCTTGAGGTAGCAGAGGTCAGGGTCTGGGGCAGGTGCTTCCTACTCGGTGCTTCACCAAGCTGTTGGCTTAGCTCTTCCCTCCCCTGTCAGGAGAGAGGTGATGCTTGGGGCTCCCTAAATGTTCTCCTGACATGGGACGAGAGCCCCCACCATATGTCAAGGCCTCTGTGTCGCTGCATTTTACAGATGAACAGATGGAGACTAAGAAGGGAGGCAATGGCAAGGAGTCTCACGGATCAGAAAGACCTGCTGTGTTTGAAGATGCCAGCCACGGCATCTGGAGGCAAAATGCCAGGCACATAGTAAGTGTTCCGTAAACATTAGCAGAGGAGATGGAGCAAGGAGGCCAGTTTGAGGTCAGATGGGGACTTAAAGGCCCAGGGGAGGGGTGAGTGAAACTATTTAGAAACTATTTAGCCTGGGAGATCCCCAAGGCAACATGCTGGTCAAATGGAGAGGGTAGGCTGCTGGACTGGCTCAACCCAGAGTCTGGGAGGTTGGGTGGGCTCTGGGCAAGACAATGAGAAATCATTTCTTAAATTAGAAAGGAAAGCTGGGCATATTGATACTCACCTGTCATCCCAAGATTTGGGAAGGGGAAGCAGGAAGGGTCAAGGAGTTCAAGACCATCCTCAGTTATACGGTGAGTTCCAGGTCAGCCTGGGATCCGTGAGATCCTGTCTAAAATGAATTTAGAAGAGAAACAACAACAACAACAACAGAAAAAAAGAGACCAATGAAGGAAAATAGGGCAAAACTGCTTAAATATGAGTGTAGCTCTCAGCACTCAGGAGGCAGAGGCAAGTGCATCTCTCTGAGTTTGAAGCCAGCCTGAACTACAAAGCAAGTCCCAGGACAGCCAAGAGAAACAGAGAAACCCTGTCTCAAAAAAACTAAGGAAGGGGCTGGAGAGATGGCTCAGAGGTTAGGAGCATTGCCTGCTCTTCCAAAGGTCCTGAGTTCAATCCCCAGCAACCACATGGTGGCTCACAACCATCTATAATGGGGTTTGGTGCCCTCTTCTGGCCTTCAGGCATACACACAGACAGAATATTGTATACATAATAAATAAATAAATATATAAAAAAAAACTAAGGAAAATGAAGGAGGGGGAGGAGGAAGAAGGAAAAAGGAAGAAGGAAGAAGAAGGAAGAAGAAGGAAGAAGAAGGAAGAAGAAGAAGAAGAAGAAGAAGAAGAAGAAGAAGAAGAAGAAGAAGAAGAAGAAGAATTCCCATTAGTGCCTCCAAAGGCCCTAGGTCATCTGCAAGAAATAATAAAAGAGATAATAATGGTGGCCACCGCTGTCGGTCCGTTACCTTCCACTTTCTGTTTTGTGGGGGAGGGGAAGAACAAGCATGTGGAGGTCAGGGGACCACCCTCAGGAGGCAGTTCTCTCCTTCACCATGTAAATCCCATGTTCTCTCCCAGAGCCACATGTGACCTGAGAGAACCATGACTCAGGGACTTGCCCCTTTCTTCTCTGAGGGCATTCATTTATCCAGAGGTACAGCCCGTGGTGACCTCTAGGTCACCATAATCAACCCGGCTGCCTTTGGTGCCCATGGATTCGCTTATATCCATTCAAGGATCGGAGGCCCAGCTGACCCTCAACGGAAGAGCACTGACTTCAAGTCAACGTTTAGCCTGGAGCTGACTTTGGAGCCTTTGTTTAACACACAGTGGTAGAGGCTGGGGGCCGTGGCAATCCACATTCTACAAACTGAGCCAGAAGGCTTGAGAGTTTCAGGCCAGCCTGGGCTGCATAGTGAGACCCTGACTCCAAAAACAAAAACGGGTTGGTTTGGTGGAATAGTGTCATAGCACGCCTTTCCTGGACCTGCCCTTCACCAATGGGGCTAGAGCCAGCTGTGCCCAAGGATCCCTCTGTCTCTGTGTCCCCAACACTGGGATTCAAGCCAGCACTGACACACCCAGATCTTTACATGGGTGCTGGGATTGAACTCAGCAATGACTTTACCAACTCGACTCCTAGCCTTATAGTTACACTTGCATGAAGCTCAAAGCAAGGCAAAGCTCCTCCATGGACAGAGGGGAAAATAATGGAGACAGAAGCTGCTAAAAAGAAATCATAAGAGAACAGCGGTGAGCCTATTCGGCACACACGCAGTCTGCCATACACCGAGTCAAATGTTTGCCAGCTCAACACTAGATAGAAACCAAGTCCACGCAGAACAACAGATTAGACTCAAAATGTTCAAGATGAGGATTTTTTTTTCCACCAAGATCTTGATCGACAGCTGTTAGGGAGATTCTGCTAGCTGAGTCCATGGTGGTCTGGGCAAGGTCAGATTCACTGGTGACAGAAAGAACCTTGTAATTGAAAACAGTCCCAACAGAGTAGGCAATGCGGCTTGCCCAGTTCGGTGCCATGGCTAGTTCATAGCAATTTAATATAGATATGCGTCAGGCCAAAAGCCAGTGGCTGGAGTGACCAAAATAACCTGTTTTGGCGTGCATGGCCTGTCAGGGGATGGACAACAGGCCTCCACTCTGTCAGACAATTCCAGGAATCCAGGGTCCTGTGATAGCTGGCCCCGCAGCATCGTGGAGGCCTTGAGCAACAGGCTGTGGACGTCCCCTGGTTATCATTCAAGTCAGGTCTGGTGGGAGGCAGTGGACCCACATGGTGTGGACAGGAAGGAGCCCCAGCCCTGCGGAATCTCCTCCCATCCAGAAATAACATCCTCTACCAGGCAGCTTATCGGTGTGATAACAGGTTTTCTCAAAACAGTTACAGCCCCAGAACCTCCACCGTGCACCTTCAGCAAGCACGGGCAGTTAGGGATGTCCACAGGTCTGCTCTCAGGGCACCCCTGAGACCCAGCTCACTTCCTCTCTGAGGAGAAGGCAGACATGTTTGCTCTCCTGCACACAAAGGGCCCTAAGCAGAGATCTGCCTCACAGTGGATCTGCCTTGTCCATCCTCCCAGCCCTGCTATCCGTGTGTCACAGAGGAAGATCAGATCAGGCAGGCCACCCGCAAGGTTCCACAGGAGGCAGGAACCAGCTTGTCACACTGTGCCACAGGCCTTCCTCTCTCAGCCTTTCCCAGCTGCTGCTTCTCCTGCCTCCAAGAATGAAGAAGACCAAGAGGGACGGAAGGCGTTCCTGGACTTTTCCTCTCACGGGAAATCATCTGTTTGTCTTTAAAGTTCCGTAGGTGTGTTTTTCCCTTTGGGGAAGTTTATAAGTTACTGTGTTCCCCTGAATTGGGGAAGAAACGTAGATAGAGCTCTATTCTGTAGTTTGTGGTGTATGCATACATGCAGGTACAGGTGCGTGTGCAGAGAAGCCGGAGTGGGATCTCACATGTCCTGCTCAACCACTCTGCTTTATTCCTTTGAACCGAGGTCTCTCACTGAACCAGGGGCTAGGCTAGTGACCAGAAAGCCCCAGAAACGCTCCTGTCTCCACTCGCCACAGCACCAGGGTTATAGATGCACAGGAAACCGTGTCCAGCTCTCCACGGTGCTGGGGTCTGAGCTCAGGTCCTCACGCCTGTACAACAATTGCTCTTACCCGCTGAGTCGGCTCCCCAGTCCAGGGAAACGTAAATAAAAGCAGCAGTGGTGCCAGCCAGCGTGGATGACACAGGGTGGGCAAGGCAGGTCAGGGCCACAACCTGTTCTCTAAGAGGATGCAGATGCCGCCTTTAGCTGGGGTATCCAGAGATCGTTTGAAACATTTGGAATGTTTATGTTCTTTGACCTATATGTCTTAGTTACTTTTTCACTCCTTCCTTCCTTCTTTTCTTTTTCTTTTTGTTTGAGACAGAGTTTCTCTGTGCAGCCCTGACTATCCTGAAACTCACTCTATAGACCAGACTGGCCTCGAACCCCACTTGCCTCTGTCTCCTGAGTGCTGGGATTAAAGCATGCACCACGACCACCAGGCTAGTTCCTCTTTACTGTAACAAGATACTCTGACAAGAGCAACTTCAGGGACAAAAGTTGCTCACAGTTAGAAGGACTGAGTTGGGTTGGGGGCACAGGGACTTGGCAGCAGGCAGGGACGGCGTGGTGGCAAGAGCAGGAGGATGGCTCCTCTTGCGTCTGCACTCAACATGACTGTAATGAAGGTGTTTTTGCTGTCTGGCTCTCATTCTCCATTTATACAGCCCAGGATCCCAACCTGGGAGTGATACCACCCCAATTACTCTAATTTAGATTTCCCCCTCCCCGCATGCCCAGAG